CCCCCCGCCGCAGCAGCAGCAGCAGCAGCAGCAGCAGCAGCAGCAGCTCGCAGCTACAAGACCGTGCTGCTGGGCGAAGCTTCTGTAGGCAAATCCAGCCTCGTGCTGCGGCTGGTGAAGAACAGCTTCAGCGAAGCCATGGAGACGACGATTGGAGCCGCTTTTTTCGCTAAGTCCGTCGAAGTCGACGGAAATTCGGTGAAGTTCGAAATCTGGGACACGGCCGGCCAAGAGCGCTTCGCCTCGCTGGCCCCGATGTACTACCGCGGGGCCGCTGCAGCGGTGGTCGTTTTTGACCAGACCAGTGGTCCATCGTTTGGCCGTGCGCAGCAGTGGGTGCAGCAGCTGCGGCTCAGCAGCAACGCGGGGGTGGTGATAGCTTTGGCAGCAAACAAGGCCGATCTGCTGCAGCAGCAGCAGGTGGATGCTGCAGCAGCAAGGCAGTTTGCTGCCGATAATGGACTTCTTTTCCTCGAAACTTCCGCGAAAACTGGACAAAATGTCCTCCAACTCTTCCAGATGATCGCCCGCAGACTCCTCCAGCAGCAGCAGCAGCAGCAGCAGCAGCAGCAGCAGCCACAGGGCCTCCACACCGTCCAGCTCACGGCGGACCCGGGGGGGCCCCCGGGGGGCCCCCTCGCCACCAAGCTGGGCTGCTGCGGCTCCGCTTGAGTCTTCTTTCTTTCTTCTTCTTTTTTCTTTCTTTCTTTCTTTCTTCTTTTCCTTTTCTTTCTTTCTTTATTTCTTTTTCTTTTCTTTCTTTCTTTCTTTCTTTCTTTCTTTTTTTCTGCCTTTCCAAAAAGCTGCGCCTCAGCCACGCCTTCTGAGGTGTACGTACACCCCGCCGCCGGTGTTGGGGTGTACGTACACCCGGCGGCGCCCCACAAAGGCCCCGCGACTGCTGCAGAGGAAAAGTTTCCGCAAATTCCCAAAACTGCTTTTAGAACTCAAGACTTCTTTTCGTGTCTTCTTGCAATCCAAAAGCAAACAAACTCCACAAAATGGGTCCTTTTTCCGGACCCAGGGGCCCCGCGAACCTGGGGGGCCCCTCCCGGGGGCCCCACACAAGCAGAGGGGCCCCCCGGCTGCTCCGAGGGGCCCCCGGGGGGCCCCCAGAATACCTAAACCCACACCTTAAGGGGCCCCTGCTGCCCAGCGGGGGCCCCCAAGAGGGCCTCAGGAGGTCCCTCTGGGGGCCCCTCAGGGGGGCCCCTCAACGGGACCCTTAGGGGGGCCCCTCAGGGGGCCCCTTAAGGGGCCCGTCAAGGGGCCCCTTAGGAAGGCCTCTCAGGGGTCCCTCAAGGGGCCCCTCAAGGGGCCCCTCAAGGGGCCTCAGGAGACTCAGGAGAGCCCCTCAGGGGGCCCCGCAGGGGGCCCCTCAGGGGGCCCCTCAGGGGGCCCCTCAGGGGGCCCCGCAGGGGGCCCCGCAGGGGGCCCCTCAGGGGGCCCCTCAGGGGGCCCCCCTGGGGCTGTAGGCAGTGCGTTTGGTGTTGTTGGTTAGTTGGACTCTTTTGTTGTTTTTTGCGGAGTTGAAGAAAAGTGAAGAAGTCTTTGAGCTGCTGCAGCAGCTTCTGCTTCCTTAGGGGCTTCCTTTAGCTGCTTTAGAAGTGCTGCTGCTGCAGCTTTTCAGTGCTGCTGCTGCAGCAAAAGCTGCAGCAGCTTTTGCTTCCTTAGGGGCTTCCTTTAGCTGCTTTAGAAGTGCTGCTGCTGCAGCTCTTCAGTGCTGCTGCTGCAGCTCTTCAGTGCTGCTGCTGCAGCTCTTCAGTGCTGCTGCTGCAGCTTTTAAGTGCTGCTGCAGCAGTTGTTTCGCGCTGCTGCGGGAGTTATTTAGTGCTGCTGCGGGAGTTTTTAAGTGCTGCTGTAGGAGTTTTCAACTGCTGCTGCTGCAGTTTCTAACTGCTGCTGCAGCAGTTCTCACGTGCTGCTGCAGCAGTTCTCACGTGCTGCTGCAGCAGTTCTCACGTGCTGCTGCAGCAGTTCCCACGTGCTGCTGCTGCTGCACTTTTTGAGTGCTGCTGCTACGGCTTCTGGTGTCTAGACACCTCAAACAGCTTCAGGTGTCTAGACACCTCAAACAGGTCCTTGCGGGCAGTTTGAGGTGTCTAGACACCCGAGACTGCAGCAAAGAGAAGCCAATGAAATGAAAAACAAAAAACAAAATTAATTTCAACAAAAGTCCAAACCCTCGTTGCAGAAGGGCCCCCAGGAGCCCCAGCGGGGCCCCCAGGGGCCCCCAAACCCTTTGGGGGCCCCGCAGCAGCAGCCCTCCAGCTGCTGCGGGGGCCCCCAGGGGCCCCCAGGGGCCCTCAGGGGCCCCCAGGGGCCCCCAGGGGTTTCCAGATACTATTGGGGGGCCCCCCTTATCTTTGTTTTGCTGCAGCTTCAGTTGGGTTCTGCTGCTTCTGCCCACAGCAGCAGCGTTTTGTACATTCCCTTACACCCCCAATTTACCCTGACTCCTCGCTGCTGCTGCTGCTGCTGCTGCTGCTGCTGCTGCTTCCAAGCGAACGAAGGAAGCCGCACGACTAGGGAGCTGCGAGAGGCCCCGGCCTGGCCAGGGGGGCCCCTCGGGGGCCCCCCTGGGGGCCCCTCTGGGGGCCCCCAGAAGCAAAGAAGGGCCCCTTCATTTGGCGAGGGTTTAGGGTTTTGGCAAATGACGCAGCTGCTGCCGTTTGCTGCTGCTGCTGCAGCAACTGGGGGGCCCGGGAGGCCCCTCACGCAGGTGACCCCGGGGAGAGCAGCAAAAGGGGACTTGTCTTTATTTCTTTTTGCTGCTGCCCCTTTTTGGATTGGGTCTTGGGGGGCCCCTGCAGCAGCAGCAGCAGCACTTGCTGCTTCAAATGTGTCTTTTGGACCCTTTTTGGTCCCTTTTGCTGCTGCTTCCACGCCCCCAGACCCCACAACACTTTCTGCTGCTGCTGCTGCTGCTGCTGCTGCTGCTGCTGAGCTCTCTTCCTTTATTTCCCACGGCTCGCACCTCCACACGTAATGACAAACACCTGAAGGGGGGCCCCCCGAGGGGCCCCCCGAGGGGCCCCCCGAGGGGCCCCCCGAGGGGCCCCCCAAGGGGGCCTCCAAGGGGCCCCCTAGGGGGGCCCCCAACGAGGGTTTGGGGGCCCTTTCGGGGGCCCCCGAGGGGCCCCCTTGAGGGCCCGCGTGGGCGTTTCCTTGAGGGGCCCGCGGGGGCCCCTCTGGAGAGGCCTCAGGGGGGCCCCCTGGGGGCCCCCCAGCGGCCTCTCCAGGGGGGCCCCCCGGGGGGCCCCCTAGGGTTTTTGTTTCGGGTCTTGGGGGCCCCCAAACCCTAGGATAGGGTATAGGGGGCGGGGGTTTATAGGTCTGTGAAACCCCCCAGCTAACCACTTGCGGCAGCGCCTCCTGCGCGCCGCCCCCGCCGCCGCTGCTGCTGCTGCTGCTGCTGCTGCTGCTGCTGCTGCTGCTGCTGCTGGTTTGGGGCGCAGCAACGAGGGCCAGCACGCGGGAGTCTGAGCAGCTGAGGGCCCCCAGGGGGGCCCCCACAGGGACCTTTTGGGGACAGTCTTCGCGGGGACTTAAGTGGAAAGGGTTTACTTGTCCCCCCGTGTTGAGGCCGAAGCCAACTGCTGCTGCTGCTGCTGCTGCTGCTGCTGCTGCTGCTGCTGTCAGCAGCAGGCAGCAGTGCGCGCCGCAGGCGCCGGGTGTACGTACACCTGGCCCGCGCTGTGGGGTCTCGGGTGTACGTACACCCCGCGCTGCTGCCACCCGCGGGCTGCTGCTGGCAGCAACAGAACTCCCCACAACTCCCAAACCCAATTCTCCGTATTTGTTCGAGCCCCACGAAAGCACAATTGCTGCTGCTGCTGCTGCTGCTGCTGCTGCTGCTGCTGCTGCTGCTGCTGCTGCTGCTGCTGCTGTTTGCTGCTGCTGGCTCGCAGAGGGCCACGGAGAAGTCGCCGCCGGCGAGGACGCAGGTGGGCCTGAAGGCGCTGTAGTCTGCTGCTGCTCTTACGAATTTGCTGCTGCTGCTGCTGCTGCTGCTGTCCCCCAACTGTCCCTTTTCATTGCATCCAAAAGAATAAATAAAATGATCTTCACTCAGCAGCAAAATGTGGTTCCAGCCGCAGGCCACCGAGTGTACAGACACCTCAGTCGGCACGCAGTAACACACCCGCGCAGGCAGCGCGCAGCTGCAGCGCGCACGCTGCTGCTGCGGCTCCTGCTGCTGCTGCTGCTGCTGCTGCTGCTGCTGCTGCTGCTTTGTGTTTGCTGCTGGCTCTCTTTGTGCTGCCTCTAGCTCCCTCAAATACACAAAGACAGAGTGCCGAGTGCTCAGAACTAAAGTGTCCTCAAACGCGCTCACGGAGACCACAGGGTCGCAGCTGCTGCTGCTGCTGCTGCTGCTGCTGCTGCTGCTGCTGCTGCAGTTTGTGGCTGGGCTGCTGCTGCAGCAGGTGGCTCCGTGCTGCTCTTCTACACAAAAATCCGAATGCAGCCACAAAGGCCTACAGAAAAGTTCGTTTGAACCTGGGGAGGGCAGCGCAGCCTCAGCAACAAATATTATGCTTTGGTTTGCTGCTGCTGCTGCTGCTGTTGCTGTTGTTGCTGTTGCTGCTGCTGCTGCTACTGTTGCTGCTCCGTGTGTTGCTGCTGCTGTTGGTGCTGCTGATGCTGGTGAAGTTGCTGTTGTTGCTGCTGCTGCTGCTTTTGTTTCAGCTGGTACTGGCATCGCTGCAGTTCCGCGTGTCCTTGATGCTGGAGATCTGGTTTCTTCTGCTGCAGTTGCTGCAGTTGCTGCTGCTGTTGCTGCTGCAGTTGCTGCTGCTCCCGCTGCAGCAGCTGCAGATGTTGTTGCTGCTGCTGTCTTCAAGTGAGATCCTGCAGCATCTGGGCAGCTGCAGCAGAAACGAAGGCGCGCTGTCCACGGCTGGAAATGGATGTGAGGCTTTTTTGGCAGCAGACATCGAAGTTGAAACTGTTTTAAATGCAAAACATTACAAATAAAATAAAAAAGGAGAAAAACTAATCCATTTGCAGCAGATTTACTGCAAGGAAATGCGAGAACTGTTCAAAAGTGAGAAGTTCAAACTTGACGCCGTCCGCGGAACGTGAACCGCGGTGTACGTACACCCGAGCGGAAGATTCTGGATGAAAGTAATAAAAAAGAAAATAAATTAATAAAAAAGAAAATAAAAATAAAAATTAAATAACTTTTCCGAAGTACTTTTATAAATCTGAACGCCGACAGCAGCTGCAGCCCCGAAACCCATCGAGCCGCAAACTCCAGGTGTCTGTACACCCGAGAGCGGCGCAGTGAAACTGGAAGTCTTTTGAACTTCGAAATATCATTTTATTTAAATTCAAAAAATTAAATCAATTCAATACACAAAATTGTGCCCTAAACCCTAAACCCTAAACCCTAAACCCTAGCCCATTAGGCTTTACTCCGCCTCCTAACACAAACTCGACTTGAGGCACTGTCGTAAACCCTAAAGCTAAAAACCCTAAACCCTAAACCCTAAACCCTAGACGCTGGATGCTAGATTTCCCATTGGAAGCCTAAACTCCGAGCTGTAAACCCTAAACCCTCAATTCTATAAACCCTCGTTTCACTAAGAGTAATGGATCTAAATGCAAATGCACTAAACCCTAAACCCTAAACACAAACAAAAACAAAAACAAAAAAATAAATTAAAAGATACAAATTAATGTGCAAAAAGCTGCAAGTGACCCGCCTCGCTTCCCCCTTAAACCCTAAACCCTAACACTCTTAAACACTAGCAACTGACGAAACCCTAAACCCTAGCAACTGCAGAAACCCTAAACCCTAGCAACTGCAGAAACCCTAAACCCTAGCAACTGCAGAAACCCTTAACCCTAGCAACTGACGAAACCCTAAACCCTAGCACGTTTTAAAGCCGATACTACTGATGCGGGCCTGCTGCGCCATTCTAGGGTTTAGGGTTTAGGGTTTAGGGTTTGGGTTCAGGGCGTAGGGCCTGCCGTTTAGGGTTTAGGGTTTAGGATTTAGCAGAGCAGAGCCTGCTGCGCATTTCTAGGGTTTAGGGTTTAGGGTTTCCGCTAGGGGTCTTGTTAGGGTTTAGGGTTTAGCAGAGGAGAACCCTCTTTGGGGGTTTGCAGTGCATTTCACCCAGAAGAACAAAAACAGCAAAACACCCCACAGCAGCAGCAGCAAAACACCCCACAGCAGCAGCAGCAAAACACCCCACAGCAGCAGCAGCAAAACGCCCCACAGCAGCAGCAGCAAAACACCCCACAGCAGCAGCAGCAAAACACCTCACAGCAGCAGCAGCAAAAGGGACTTTGTGGCTTCCCGCTTACTATCAGTAGCTCCTAGGGCCCCCGGGGCCCCAGGCGTGGGGGCCCCTCTTGGGTGTGTTGTCTGTGCTGCTGCTGCTGCTGCTGCTGCTGCTGCTGCTGTTGCTGCTAAGGGTTCACCGTGCTGCAGATACCTGTGGCAAGGAGGGCTGGCATTTGGGCAAAGGCCTATTTTGCTGCAGGAGAAAGCCTCAACAGCAAGACCTTCTGCTGCAGCAGCAGCAGCAGCAGCAGCTGCAGCAGCAGCAGCAGCAGCAGGGGCAGGTCTCAGAAGCAGCAACTGAGGCCCAGGAGTTAGACTTAGCTTTGCTGCAGAGTTTCTTTGCTGCTTTCGAGGTTCCGAGAAGCCCCTGAACTCCCCTAGTGCCCTCTAGTAAACCCTAAACCCTAAACCCTAAACCCTAAACCCTAAACCCTAAACCCTCGTAGACTGTTGAAAACCCTTGCACAGTTCACTGTACAAAAGCAGTTCTGGGGGCTGCGGGCTGCGGCCGGGGCCCCACAGCAGGTGTACGTACACCTCAAGGTGCACATACACTCGAGCGGTCGACGCGGTGTACAGACACCTCGAGGTGTCTGTACACCCCACAGCTGCTGCTGGGTATACAGACACCTCGAGGTGTACGTACACCCCAGCGGCTGCTGGGGTGTACAGACACCTCGAGGTGTACGTACACCCCAGCGGCTGCTGGGGTGTACGTACACCTCAAGGGCGCCCAGCCACCTCAGTGGCGCGGAGATTCGGGTGTACGTACACCCCAGCGGACAACTGGGTGTACGTACACCTCAGCGGCTGCCGCTGGGCTGTACGTACACCTCCAGAGCGCATGCACCTCTGGGGTGTACGTACACCAGAGCGCATGCACCTCTGGGGTGTACGTATACCAGAGCGCATGCACCTCTGGGGTGTACATACACCTCCAGAGCGCATGCACCTCTGGGGTGTACGTACACCCCAGCGCGCCGCTGGAAGGGCGAAGGCCCTCCGGCGGCTCTGAGGTGTACGTACACCTCAAGAGGGACACACTTGGAGCTGCCGATACACCTCAGAGCTCGCCAGACACCTCGAGAGACTGCATGCAGCTGCTGCATGCAGCTGCTGCATGCAGCTGCTGCATGCAGCTGCATGCAGTCTCTCGTATGTACACCTGGAGGCTGCACGTACAGCAGGGGTGTACGTACACCTCAGCGGAAGACAGGGGGGCCTGCAGGCTCCTCGGGTGTACGTACACCTCGGAGAGAGCTGCTGCCACTGCATCTTTCTAGCTCTTCAAAGCCAGCTGCTGCTGCTGCTGCTGCTGCTGCTGCTGCTGCTGCTGCTGCTGCTGCTGCTGCTGCTTGGTTTGGGGCTCAGTGCTGCCTTTGCATGTGCGCACTTTCTCTGGAAGGCGCTGCTACGCGTCCGCTGCTGCTGCTGCTGCTGCCGCTCTTGCTGCTGCTGCTGCTGCTGCTGCTGCTGCCAGGGGGTCTTCGCCCACGTGGCGGATAAAAAAGCGGCCAGCAGCAAAAGGGGCGGGACTTTGGGGACAGTTGAGGGGGGACTCCCCAGAAAGTATCCCTGTGCTGCTGTCGGTTCTCGTGCTGCTGCTGCTGCTGCTGCTGCTGCTGCTGCTGCTGCTGCTGCTGCTGCTGCTGGGCGCCTCAGCACTGTGTGATGCTGCCCAAGAGAGCCCTTGGCGGCCTGCTTCCTCTTCCTTTCCATTTGGCTTCTCTTTGCTTCGAAACTGGGGCAGGCTTGCTGCTGTTTGCTGCAGCTGCTGCTGCTGCTGCTGCTGCTGCTGCTGCAGTTGCAGTTGCTGCTGCTGCAGCTGCTGCTGCTGCTGCTGCTGCAGTTGCTGCTGCTGCAGCTGCAGCTGCAACGCTTGTTGCTGTTGCTGTAGCTGAGTCTGCTGCTGCTGCTGCTGCTGCAGTTGTGGATGCTGGAGCTGCTGAAAGTTCTGCTGCTGCCCCTGCTGATGAAGCTGGTGGAACTGTTGCTGCTGCTCTTGCCCCCGCCTCTGCTGCTGGAGCTGCAGCTGCTGGAACTGTTTCTGCTGGAGCTGCTGCTGCTGGAACTGTTGCTGATGAAGCTGCTGCTGCTGGAGCTGCTGCTGCGGCTGTAGCTGCTGCTGCTGGAGCTGCTGCTGCGGCTGTAGCTGCTGCTGCTGCAGCAGGCAGTGCTGCTGCCGCTGCTGCTGCTGATACCACAAGCGCGCCGAAGAGTGGGGTGAGCCGCTCAGCATTTGGCTGCTGCTGCTGTAGTTGTTGCTGCTGCTGCTGCTGCCATAGCCCTTGCTGCTGCTGCTGCTGTAGCCGTTGTTGTTGCTGCTCGCGTAGCTGTTGCTGCTGCAGCCGTAAGTGTCGTTGTTACTGCCGCCGTAGCCGTTGCTGTTGCTGCTGCCGTAGGCGCTGCTGCTGCTGCTGCTGCTGCTGCTGCTGCCGTAGCTGGTGCTGCTGGGCGTGGCAGCAGCAGCAGCAGCAGCAGCAGCAGCAGAATGGAAGAAGCCCGTGAGAGGCCTGAAGGGACTGTCTCCTCGCTGCGCAGCTGTGCTGCTGCTGTTTCTCTTAAGAGCTCTTCCTGCAAAAGAGCTGATGAAGTCCCGCAAGAATGCTGCTGCATGCTGCTGCTCTTTTGTCTCTTCTTTTGCTGCTGCTGCTGCTGCTGCTGCTGCTGCTGCTGCTGCTGCTGTTGCTTCGGTCTCCGCTTCTGTGTCTGTCTCCGTCGCCTCGCGCGGGCTTGTCTCCGGCGTGTTCTTGAAAGACACTCGCGCTGCGCTGCTGCTGCTGCTGCTGCTGCTGCTGCTGCTGCTGCTGCTGCTGTTTGGGGACGCAGCAGCACGGGAAGACCGAAGGGCAGACGGCGCCCGTAAGGGAGACAGAGACACCTGGGGGGCCCCCTGGGGGGCCCCCTGGGGGCCCCTCAAGCCTGCAGCCAGCAGCAGCAAAGTAAAACAATTGCATATATAATATATAAATATGTATATATACGAAAATATATATATATTATGTGTATATATACATATACATATATATATTATATATTATATATATATATATACATATATATATATATTATATACATATATATATATATATGGGGCCCCTAGGGGCCCCCCAGCTTGCTGCCAGCAGCAGCACTTCAAAGCAAATGCATGCGCAACATATATGTAGCCAAAGACTCTTGAGGGGCCCCCGGGGGGCCCCCAGGGGCCCCCCAGGTTGCTGCCAGCAGCAGCAGCGCAGGGCAAGTGCATGCGGGCAAAGAAATATTCTTTAGACATTTCTTTGGCTCAGAAGGTCCTTTATATTTAATGCAGAAAAAGAATTTAGAGAAACATCGGGAAGCTCACTGATTTCCGCAGAGACGGGCTGGCCTTGCTGCTGCTGCTGCTGCTGCTGCTGCTGCTGCTGCTGCTGCTGCTGCTGCTGCTGCTTGTGCTGCGCTTGCTGGGCTACGTGATGAGTGGAATTGACGCGCCGTTTCTGGGACAAATCCAGATGCTGCTGCTGCGGGTGCTGGTGCTGTTGCTGCTGCTGGGCGGGTTCTTGCTGCCGCTGCTGCTGCTGCTGCTGCTGCTGCTGCTGCTGCTGCCGCTGCTGCGCAGCACCCGCGCTGCTGTATCGCCTTACAGGATGGCCCTTGTGGTGAGGGCTCTGCAGCGTCGGGCGAGAGAAGGTGGGGGGCGTGCTGGGGGTTCTGGGCGAAGGCGAAAACTGCTGCTGCTGCTGCTGCTGCTGCTGCTGCTGCTGCTGCTGCTGCTGCAGGAAGGATCTGCGGCTGGAAAGCTGCTGCGGTGTCTTTGCACCTCCAGCACGTCCGCTGTCCGGAGGGCTTCTGGGCGGGCTGACGAGAGCAGCAGCAGCAGCAGCTGCTGCTGCTGCTGTTGGCGCTGTAGTTGCTGTTGCTGCTGCTGTTGCTGGCGCTGCTGCTGCTGCTGCTGTAGTGGTTTGAGACGGCGCCTGCTGCTCAGCAGCCTTCTCGACCGGCGCTGCGTTTGTGGCAGGGCTTTGCTGCGGCAGCAACTGCTGCTGCTGCTGCGTGTGCTGCTGCTGCTGCTGATCCTGCTGCTGCTGCACGTGCTGCAGCTGCTGCTCCTGCTGCGCCGGCTGCTGCTGCTGCATGTACTCTGTGTACTGCTGCGACTGCTGCCGCTTGCTCCCGTGCTGCAGGAGCAGCAGCTTGTTACTGACGGTGTGAGGGGAGAACTTGCTGCTGCTGCTGCTGCTGCTGCTGCTGCTGCTGCTGCGGGCAGCAGCTAGCCGAGCTGAAAGCTGGGGAGAAACCTCCGCGGGCCAGCGAGAGCTCTTGAGCTGTTCAATAGCAACTTTCATTCGGTGCTGCAGAGAAGTTTGGGAAAAATAAAAATAAAAAATAAAACAAAATAAAATAAAAATAAAAATCAAACAAAAATAAAATAAAAACAAAGTAAATGCAGCATGCAGCTCTTCTGTTTAAACATGGATTTTTAAATTTTAAAAATTGATTTAAAAATAATTCTAATTGCCTTTATAGGCTTTTGTGCATGCGCCTGCATGCGCATGCAGCAGAGTGGATGGAGAGGCTTTTTAATTGAATAAAAAGGCAAAATATATCAATTTATTTCAAATAATTGTTTTAATTTAATTAATTTAAATTAATTAATTGCTGCGCACTTGTTTGCTCGCGAGGAAATCAATTTGTTGCTGCAGACAGAACAGCAGCAACGGGGTGTATAGGCAGCTCGCGCTGCTGCTGGGGTGTACGTACAGCTGCTGGGGTGTATAGGCAGCTCCGTCTGTTTTCTTTTTCTTTCAAATCTTCCTTCACTCATTTTATTTCTTGCTTTTGCTTAACTGTTTGCTAAACCCTAGAGGGGTTTGTAAACCCCAAACCACTTCCTAAACCCTAAACCCTCGGCCGTTTTCCAAACCCTAAACCGCTTTCTAAACCCTCGATTTCGATAAACCCTCGACTGTTCGCTAAACCCTAAAAAGGCTGCTAAAGGCTAAGCCACTTCGTTAAGTTAAAAATAATTTCCCAAATTTTCTTATAAACCCTAAACCCTAGACCCTAAACCCTAAACCCTTTTGTTATCTGCAGCTTCCAACTGTATCTAAACCCTAAGCCCTGAAGCGTGGACCCTGCTTCTACCTGAAGCACCTGAGTAGACTGCAAACCCTAAACCCTAAACCCTAAACCCTAAACCCTAAACCCTAGCCCTTTAGTTACCTGCAGCGCCTGAATAGATTTGGCCAAGTCGCCGACGCCGGCAGAAGCCTTTTCGCTGGACTGAATGGCACGCAGCTTAGCGCCCTACAAAAACACAAAAAAGGGTTTAGGGTTTAGGGTTTAGGGTTTAGGGTGCGAAAGCGGGGCCGGCTGCTGCGGAGGCAGCAGCAAATAAACCGCTCTTTTGGGGTTTTGCTGCAGCAGAAAAACAACAACCCCACCTTTACGAGGTCCAGTTCAGTTTTGATCTTTTGCATTTCTTCTTTGACTTCTTCCACGGCTTCCTGCGAAGCGGCTTGCTGCTGCAGCAAGAGAGCAGCAAAAAGGCGAAAAATAAAGAAGTTAAATAGAAAAAGAGAGATAAATAAATAATTATAAGTTAATTAAAGAAGATAAGACTAAATGAATTACAAAAATGCAACAAAAAGAAACAAAAAAGGCAAAAAAGTCAAAATTGCAGCAAGTGCAGCTGCCTATACACCCCAGCGCATGCATGCAGAGCTGCCTATACACCCCAGCGCATGCATGCACTGCTGGCTGCCGGGGTGTATGTCCACCTGGCGCTTTTGAACACTTTTTGTCAAGTTTTGGAAATCTTCTTTCAGTTGTCGAAACTCAACAACTCTCGACAAGTCCGGAGCTTTAGCCTGCAGCAGCAGCAGCAGCAGCAGCAGCAGCAGCAGCAGCAGCAGCAGCAGCAGCAGCAGCAAAAAGATTTCGAAAAAGAGAATTTTGAGCCGAAATAAATGGGCAAAGATCAGAGACAAATTATTGAAAAAAGACAAAAGAGGAAAAAGAGATAAAAGGGATAAATGCAAAAAAATTTAAATGAATTAAATAAATAAATCGAAAAATAAAAAAATTGCAAAAACTCCTTTTTGCTGCTGCCTTTACTGCGTCCACCATTAACAGCAGCAAATCCACTTCTTGCCCCTTCCACCCACGCATAAACCCTAAACCCTAAACCCTAAACCCTAAACCCTAAACCCTAAACCCTAAACCCTGTAGCCAGCCAGCGCGGTGCCTTTCACTCCCATTCAGGGTTTAGGGTTTAGGGCTCAGGTTTCACAGTGTGAAGATGATGATTTAGGGTTTAAGGTCAGGGCTCTTAGCCGGGATAAAGGGTTTAGGGTTTAGGGTTTAGGGTTTAGGGTTTAGAGCTTACAGCTTTTTGCAGTTGGTGGATCTGGGCGGCCTGCTGCTGAGCCTGTGCGCGTATCTGCTGCAGCTGCTGCTGCATCGCTGCTGCTTCGGCTGTGCTGCTGCTGCTGCTGCTGCTGCTGCTGCTGCTGCTGCTGCTGAGTTCTTTCAAAGAGACAAAAATCTGAGAACAGTTTTTCTTTAAAGCAGCAACTTCTTCTCTTAATGCTTCCAAAGCCTCCTGCGAGCAGCAGCAAAGGAAGCAGCAGCAAAGAAAGGGTTTTGGTAAACAGCAGCAAAAGTGCTGCAGCAAAGCCTAGTGAGCCGAGCCGCTGCTGCAGCAGCCTGCTGCTGCTGCTGCTGCGGCTGCTGCTGCTGCTGCTGCTGCTGTGCGCCGCTGCAGCAGCCTGCTGCTGCTGCTGCTGCTGCGGCTGCTGCTGCTGCTGCTGCTGCATGTAGTTCACAAAAGACATTTTGAGAAAAGAATTAAATAATGGATTTGAAAAGGAAAAAAAGAATTAAAAAGTCTTGCCTCAGCAGCAAGAAGTCTCTTTTGGTCTTTTTCTTCTTGGGATTTTTTCCTGCTGCACTCGAGGCCCATTTGCTGCTCGAGGTCCCCCAGGGCGCCCCGCAGCAGCAGCAGCTGCTCCTCTGCTGCTGCGCTGCTGGCCCGCAGCAGCAGCAGCTGCTCCTCTGCTGCTGCGCTGCTGGCCCGGAAAGCCCCAAAGTCCCCCTCAAGTGCATGCAGCTGCGAGCCCTGGCGGGCCAGCAGCCCCCGCAGCTGCAGCAAATCTGCAAGCAGCACTTTAAAAGGTAAACCCTAAACCCTAAACCCTAAACCCTAGGGTTTAGGGTTTCGACACTTTTCCAAACTTTTCTTCTTTGCTTTTGCTGCTAACCAAAGCTGCCTCAGTTGCAAAAGAAACTGCGTTTATAGAGGCTCTGCATGCGCCGAGCTGCTGCTGCTGCTGCTGCTGCAGCTGCAGCAGCAGCAGCAACTGCAGCAACTGCAGCAACTGCAGCAGCAGCAAACTGCAGCAGCAGCAACTGCAGCCGCCGCAGGCAAGCGCAAAGGGAGAAAGGGAAAGAAGGCAGAGGCCGGCTCCAGCACTCGCAGTCAGGGTTTAGGGTTTAGGGTTTAGGGTTTAGGGTTTAGGGTTTAGGGTTTTACCTTCTGCGTTGAGGCGCTTCAAGTCGGCGCTCAAAACCCCCACTTCGAGGAGCCACTTTTGGTGAAGTTCTCCAGACCTTTTTAAACACTTTTTGATTTCTTTTTCGATTTCTTTTTTAATTTCTTTTTCAACTTCTTTTTCAATTTCTTTTTCAACTTCTTTTTCAACTTCTTTTTTAATTTCTTTTTCTTTTTCTTTTTCAACTCCTTGGCCTTCCAAACCCTTCTGCTGCGGCTGCTGCAGGCAGCTCACTTGGCCCTTCAGCCCTTGCGACACACCCTAAACCCCAAACCCTAAACCCTAAACCCTAAACCCTAAACCCTAAACCCTAAACCCTAAACCCTAAACCCTAAACCCTAAACCCTAAACCCTAATGCCTAGACCCTAAACCCTAGATCTTAAGCCCTAAACCCTTAATACTGATACTACTGCCGTGTTCAGTGCGCAGCTTCGTGCATGTAAGTGTTCCTAGTGGAAGCTCAAGCCCCACTCCTAACCCTAAACCCTAAACCCTAAACCCTAGACGCTCAACCCTAAACCCTAAACCCTAAACCCTAAACCGAATGGCCACGAGTGCGCTTTCTACTTCAGTGGGAAATACGACAGGGCACACAATGCAAGCAATGGAATGTGGAATTCAGGGTTTAGGGTGCCTCAAAGGTCTCTAGGGTTTAGGGTTTAGGGTTTAGGGTTTAGGGTTGTCTTCAGCGTTGGGATTAGGGTTTAGGGTTTAGGGTTCAGCGTGCGTTTCAGTCCTTCAGGCTTTAGGGCCCTCGTTTTGAGGGGAGCTTGGCTCCCGGGGGTTTAGGGTCTAGGGTGCAGGTCCTAGGGTTTAGGGTTTAGGGTTTAGGGTTTAGGGTTTACCTTCTAGGTCTTTGATAATGACATCGAGCTCGGAAACAACAGCCCGCAAGTGAGAAGAGCACGAAGGGGGGCGGCGAGGGTTTTCCACAAACCCTAATTCCATATACTCTAAATCAGAGACTGCCATTTCAGTTTAAGCTGCTGCTCCAAACCCTAGCTTTGTTGCAGCAGCAGCCTCGCGGCTGCTGCGGGTTTCGGCGCGGAGGCGCAGCAGCAGCAGCAGCAGCTGCAGCAGCAGCTGCTGCTGCTGCCGCTGCTGTGCAGCTGCTGCTACTGCTGCAGCCGCTGCCGCCGCTGCTGCTGCTGTGCAGGTGCTGCCGCTGCAGCCGCTGCTGCTGCCGCCGCTGCTGCTGCTGTGCAGGTGCTGCTGCTGCAGCCGCTGCTTAAGGACGGCGAAGGGCTGCTGCGCTGCTGCAGCGTGACCAGTGGACCACAGGGCTGGTTGCTCTCCGATGCAGCAGCCGCCACCACGGCTGCTGCTGCTGCCTCAGCCCGATCTATTAATGCAAACTGCAGACTTCTAGCTGCAGCAAAGAGGAAATTGGAAATAATAAATCAAACAAAAAGGAAAAGAAGAGCTTTTCACTTCAGTCCATCTGCGCGGATCTGCTGCAGCTCCTGCTGCTGCAGTGCCACCCGATCCGCGGGTTCTGTGCACTCAATTGCTCAAAAAAACGCAGAAAAGTAAAAAAAGAAGAATAAAAGACTTTAAAGTCTTTATATATTTATATTTAACATTTATTGCGGAAGATTTCCGCGGAATCTTCCCAGGGGCCGCTCGCCGTCTTGCGTCGATGGGCAACGGACAGGCTGCCCGGGCTGGGCGGCGGCAGCGGAAACCGCGGGGGAAACAGGAAAGTTTTATCCTTTTAAAGTTGAATTAATAAAAACAATTCATTTTAAGAAAAAAGAGAACAAAATGGAGTTCAGGAAGGCAAAGACAGACCCGTTTTCCCTCGAGGCTGCTGCGGCGCAACGCAGCGGGCGTTCACTGTCTCGCGGTGTACGTACACCCCAACGACCGCAGCAAAAAGAACCGCCGTTTCGCCTTTTCTGCAGTTCTTTTGAGCCGATCTTTTAATTCTTTTGAACAGATCTTTTAATTTATGAAAACTTGTTCAGTTTTTGGCGGTTTTTCCCCGAGATCGCGAGAAAACGCACACCAACTTGCATGAGTGGGCTCCCGCCGCGGCGAACGCCGACAGCCTCCACGCCTCTACAAAGAACTCCAAAACTTCTTTCTAAAAATAAAAAAAGATTTAAATAAATGAATTATAAAGAAACTTTAAAACTCGAGAAGTTCAGCGCTGCGGCTGCGCAGCCCGGGCGTTCAACTCTAAGCCGCAAACCCCAAAAGAGCGGTTGCAAACCCTAAACCCTAAACGCCGGCGCTGCACTCTTCCGCAAACCCTAACGAATTATTGCAGCCAAAAAGTCGGGTTTTATTTATTTCGGATAATCTAAAAAGTTATCTTTTATTGCATTAATAAATGCAATAAAAGATAACTACAAGTCCCTTTAAATGCAGTTCAAATAAATCAATTTACTGCTGCTTCCAACTCGCTGGCCCAGAGCCTCTAGGCAGAGAAAACTGCAGCTAGCTGCGGCTAGCTGTGGCTAGCTGTGGCTAGCTGTGGCTAGCTGTGGCTAGCTGCAGCTAGCTGCGGCTAGCTGTGGGAACACTCTTTCTAGGGGCCAGAATAATATGGGCAAAGCTAATGGCTTTGTAGCTGCAGCGCTGGCCAAGTGCTGCTGCACTGCAGCAGCAGCAGCGAGCAGCAGCAGCAGCAGCAGCAGCGTGCAGCAGCAGCAGCAGCAGCGTGCAGCAGCAGCAGCAGCAGCGAGCAGCAGCAGCAACAGCAGGTGTGGAGGGCCTTAGCCCCCTCTTACTGCCTTTTAGCTTTCCGGCTGCTGCTGAGAGGCCGTCCGTCAGCGAAGCCCAAAGCGAAGCCTTAAACCCTAAACCCTAAACCCTAAACCCTAAACCCTAATCCCTAAGCCCTGGCGGTTTGTCTCTTTCTCGAGGCTTAATCGCCGCAAGGCCTACAGAGTAAAAGGAAAGCTTTCAAAGATATGAAGAGCCTGGCTGCAGTTGCGGTGTACGTACACCTGCTGAGGTGTCTGCGCACCTCCCAGGTGTACGTACACCTCGCGGGGTGTACGTACACCCGGAGCACAGCGCAGCAAAAGGGCCTCTTGCTGCTTTCTGCAGCGCAGTGCGGGCCGCGGCTCAGTTTCCAAACCCCAAACCCTAAACCCTAAACCCTAAACCCTAATTTAGGGTTTGGGATTTTTCTGTCGCCGAGGGGACAGTGAAATGTTCAACTTGTCAGACGCCAAGTCCATCAAATCGGCAAACAGCTTTTCATCCGTGGGGGCCCCACAGCCTGCAGGGGCCCCTCTGGGGCCCTTATTGGGGCCCCCTTCGGGGGCCCTCTGGAGGCCTCCTGGGGGCCCCCACGTGCCGTAGCTGGAGAAGCTGCTGCTGCTGCTGCTGCCTTGCTGCTGCTGCTGCTGCAGTATTGGCTGAGTTGCGAGGGGACTCCCGCTGCAGCTCTGAGGGCTTTGGCTCGGCTGCGGCAGCTGCAGGGGCCCCTGGGGCCCCCAGGGGGGCCCCCCTAGGGCCCCTCCCCTGTACCCTTCTAGGGGCCCCCCTGGGGCCCCGCCCGCGCTCCCCTCCAGGGGCCCCGGTAGGGGCCCTTCAGGGGGGCCCCCTAGGGGCCCCGGCAGGGGCCCCTCAGGGGGGCCCCCCAGGGGCCCCTCCGGGGGCCCCTTGGGTACCAGGAAGTCCGGAGTGGGGGGCCCCTCGAGCCAATAAGTTGCATTTAGCTGCTCCAAGTCTGCATCCGAACTGGGGGCCCCCGAGGCCGTCAAGTGCGCAGCAGATGAGGGGCCCCCCGTGGCAGTTGCTGCAGCAGAGGGGCCCCCCCCCCGCGGCGACGGAGACCCAGAGGAGGCCGCCAAGTCTGCAGCAGCAGCAGCAGCAGCAGCAGCAGCAGCAGCAGCAGCAGCAGCAAGAGCAGTGGCAGCTGAGCAGTGGAGGAGGCGGCAGCAGCCACAGAAGCTATAGGAGCAGCAAAAGCAGCAGCCGCGACGAGGAATGGTGCTAGCAGCAGCAGCAGCACAGCAGCAGCAGCAGCAGCACAACTGCAGCAGCAGCAGCACAACTGCAGCAGCAAAGCACGAACATGCAGCGCAGCAGCAGCAAATCAACATCTCATTTGAGCTGACCTAAAAGATCGATTTCCTCCAAACTTTTGTTCGCAGAAAGAGGGAGGGCCACCGGGTCTGCTGCAGCAGCCTGCTGCTGCTGCTGCTGCTGCTGCTGCTGCTGCTGCTGCTGCGGTTGCGGCAGCTGCTGCTGGTAGGGCAGTTGATCTGTCTGCCTGCGGCGGCTAGCCATTTGCTGCTGCTGCTGCTGCTGGGACTGCCCAGCTGCTGCACCAGCAGGAAGAGCAGCAGGAGGAGCAGCAGCAGCAGCAACAGGAGCAGCAGCAGCAGCAGCAACAGCAGGAGCAGCAGCAGCAAACGCAGATGGGGGATCCCTGTAGAGCGATGCATCGTACTGAGGGTCCAGGATCGTTCCGGCTGCACGAAAGCAAAGCCGCGACAAACCCTAAACCCTAAACCCTAAACCCCAAAACCCTGAACCGTGAACTCTAAACCCCAAGCCCCAAACCCTAAACCCTAAGCTCCAAACCCTAAACCCTAAACCCTAGAGCCTAGACACTAGACCCCGCCCTCAGCAGCCCGGAGCCAAGACCCCGACTACCTAGATCCTCAGACCCAAACCCCAAACCCCAAACCCTAACCCCCAAACCCAAAACCCCAAACCCTAAACCCTAAACCCTAAACCCTAAACCCTAAACCCTAAACCCTAAACCCTAGGACGCACGCCTGTAGAAGAGCTGAAAGCTGAGCCCGTTGACCCTCAAAGCGAAGGCCTGGAGGTGGGGCTCATAAATGAGGCTGAGGAGATGGCCCTGCAGCGGCCAGCTGTGTTCGAAGCCCGCAGACCTTAATCTGAAATAAATAAATAAATAAATTAATTAATTAATTAATTAATTAATTAATTAAATTAATTATTTAATTAATTAATTTATTTAATTTAATTGAATAGCCTCGCGGCGACGGGGGCGCGGCGAAGGAAGCAGCGGAAAAGAAGCAGGGGAGGAGGCTCTGTGGGCTGGCTAGGGTTTAGGGTTTAGGGTTTAGGGTTTAGGGTTTAGGGTTTACTGCTGCTGGGCGTAGATCAGCTGGCCGTCCATCAGGATTTTCTTTCTGCCGGAAATTTTCGAGTGGAAGAACTCGACTCGGTGGTTGACGCCCGCGATGCGGAAGTGCTATTCGCAAACCCCAAACCCTAAACCCTAAACCCTAAACCCTAAACCCTAAACCCTAGCCGCAGCCCCAAACCCTTTGCGCCGACAGCCACATTTCACAAGCAGGCGAAGGGCGACGAAGAGCGAAACGACGAGGGTTTGGGGTTTGCGGCGGGCTGCAGACCCAGCTGCGATCTAGAGCCTAGGGTTTGGGGTTTAGGGTTTAGGGTTTAGGGTTTAGGGTTTAGGGTTTGGCACCCATTGGTACTTGACTTTGCTGGCTTCAATGGTCTGTCCGACGTAGTCAATGGAGGCGCCCAGGGCCTCGACCTCTTCGTCTTCTCGGAGTTGTTCTTCTTGCATGTTTTCGAAACTTTGTTTGAATTTGAATTTATGATTTCTGGAATTGCAAAAAGACAAAAATCCCCAACAAGACGCGCGCTGGGGAGCTGGATGTACACCTGAAATCCCAGGGGCCACGACAGGCAAAGAAAGAGGCGGAAAGGGTTTTCTTTGCCATCGGAAAAGCCCCATTTCAATGGGCTTTCTCGCAAACCCTAAACCCTAAACCCTAAACCCTCGCGGGCGCCGCCGGAGCAGCCGGTGCGGCGGCGCGGACCGTCTAGGGTTTGCCACTGCCGCTTTTCCGCAAAGGCCTTTAAATTTTGAATTAAAAATAACTTTAATTAAAGAAATTTGACTCAAAAAAACTAAACAACTTCGAAATCGGACAAACAACGCGCGAAGATGACCCACAACTTGAGGTGTACGTACACCTCAGCTACTGCGGCCTGCACACATCGCCAAACCAACCGGCGTTTCGCCTCAAACGTCAATCATTTATTTATTTGGGATTTATTTTGAATTTACTTTTCATTTATTTCAAAGCGGAGCCGCACTGACACGCAAACACACACAAACCAGGGGGCCCCGCCACCCGCACGCCTCGGGCCCCTGGGGCCCCCAGCGAGCCTTGCACGGCAAACTGTGCCGCCCAGCAACTGCTAGGGTTTAGGGTTTAGGGTTTAGGGTTTGGGGATTTCGGCTTTTTCCCGTTTTGCGAAATTTCAAAATGGAGAGAGCGCGTTCCCCGCCGGGTGTACGTACACCCGAACGGGGGCTGCTCCCAGCAACCCCAGCAGCAGCAGCAGCAGCAGCAGAACTGCAGCAAGAAGTTGCTGCTGCATCTTTGGCCCAGGAATCCGCTGCGCTATTGTCGATGGCTAGCTGGCTAGCTAGCTAGCTGGCTAGCCAGCTGGCGGACAGCGGAAATGTGTGCAAATCGGTGACTAGCTACCCAGCTAGCTAGGTGACTAGCGGCCTAGCTAGCTAGCCACCGTAACGGGGTTTAATGGGTCGACAGCTAGCTAGCTAGCTAGCTGGCTAGCTAGCTAGCTAGCCAGCAGTTTGATCCTCTGGGCTAATGTATCCGCGCTCGCCTATTGACTACCTAGCTTAGTTCTGTCTTTAACGAGCCAGCTAGCTAGCTAGCTGGCCAGCCACCTAGCTAGCTAGCTAGCTAGCTAGCTAGCTAGCTAGCTAGCTAGCTAGCCAGCTAGCTCGATGGTTAGCTCTACAGCTAGCCTAACTCTCTGGCTAGCTAGCTAGCTAGCTAGCTAGCCAGCTAGCTAGCTAGCTGGTGCCCTGGAGCAGAGAAGATCTGCTTCACAGTATATACACTTTGCTGCACTGCCTCGAGGGCGAAGGCAGCGTAATTAACGCCAAGGGTTTAGGGTTTAGGGTTTAGGGTTTAGTGGCTGCGGTTAGTAGCTGAGTTTAGGGTTTAGGGTTTAGTTTTGGGGCCCCTACCACGCCGCTGAGGCCCCTTTTGGGGGCCCCCAAGGGCCTCCCTGAGGCCCTATGGAGGGATGGCAAGTGGGGGCCCCCTTAGGGGCCCCTAAAACCCCCTCAGGGGGCCCCCGGGGCCTCTTTTGCATGCATTTTTGGGGGCCCCCAGTACCCTTTGAAGTGACCTCGGGGGGCTCCTCTACAAGCCCTGGGGCCCCCTGAAGGCTGCCTTGAAAGCCCTACAGAAATATCTGCTGAGGGGACCTGGGGGCCCCCAGGGGCCCCCCCGGGGCCCCCCAGGGGCCGCAAAGAGGGGCCCCCCGGGGGCCCCTTCTCGGGGGGCCCCTGAGGGGCCCTCAAGAATTGCAACAGAGGCACGCGGTGGGGGACAGAGGGGAAAAGGAGATTTTGAGATTTTGAAAAATATATTTTGAGGAAATGAATTTTCAGTTTCAGCTTTTGCACAAGTCCTGTGGTGTACATACACCTCAGGGTACAGGCTGCAACATTTAATTCAAATTATTTTCTTTTTTACCCACATCTATGGGGGCCCTTTAGGGGGCCCCCATGGGCCCCTGAAGGGCCCCCGGGGGCCCCCAAGTGGCTTCTTCAGATTCCCTTCAAGGGGCCCCCAGAGGACCCTGGGGGCCCCCGGGGCCCCTGGGGCCCCTGGGGGCCCCAGGGGCCCCCCCGGCACCCCAGGCCTCGTGGGCTGTGGGGCCCCCAATGATAGGGAACTCTTGGGAAGAGTGTTGCTTTTTAAAAATAAAAATAAAAATAAAAATAAATAAAAATAAAAATAAAAATAAAAATAAAAAAATGATAATGGGGCCCTGGGGAGAGCCAGGGACTTGAGGTGTACGTACACCCGAAATCGAGGCCCCGGCGGCGCTGCTGCCGACATTTTTTATTTTTGTTTTTTGTCTTTTTCCTAATTTCCAGAAACTGCTTCATTACGCCTATTCTTCATGGCCCTGCCAAACCCTAAACCCTAAACCCTAAACCCTAAACCCTAGCGGGGCCCCGGGCCGCCTGCTCGTGGCCTTTCTCTGCAGCAGCAGCAACCCAGGGGGCCCCCATGCACAGCCGTCTGCTGCTTAGGGGGCCCCCCCTATCAAGGGGCCCCTTCTTGGGGGCCCCCTCGGGCGGGGGCCCCCCAGGGGCCCCCCTGGGGGCCCCCCTGGGGGCCCCCAGGCCCCAACTGGGGGTTTGCTGCTGCTCTGCTGCTGCCCAGGGCGGGTGTATGTACACCTCCGAGGCCCAGCAGCAAAAGCTAGCTGCCCCTCCTTCCCCTTCAGCAGCAGCAGCAGCAGCAACAGCAGCAGCAGCAGCAGCAGCAACAGCAGCAGCAGCAGCAGCAGCAACAGCAGCAGCAGCAGCAGCAGCAGCAGTGGCGTCTGCTCCCCTGCAGCGCCTCTTTCGTCCGGGGGGCCCCCAAGGACCCCCCCAGCCGAGGGGCCCCGGGGGGCCCCCCGAGGGGCCCCCCTGGGGGCCCCTGGGGCCCCAGGGGCCCCTAGCCAGGGGCCCCTTAAGGGGGCATTTGGGGTGTATGCTGAGCTCTGGGGTGTCTCTACAGCTCAGCCGGGGGGCCCCCCGCTGCTGCCTCTCCCACAGAAGGCCATGGGGGCCCCAAAGGGGGGCCCCCAGGGGCCCCCCAGAGGGTCTGGAGGGGGCCCCTTGGGGCCCCCCACAGGGTCTGGAGGGGGCCCCTTGGGGCCCCCCAGAGACCACCTGGAGGCCCCCCGTGAAATGCCCTTTACGAGCCACCTTAGGGGCCCCCTTGGGGGCCCCCTTGGGGCCCCCCTTAGGGGCCTCTTTGGGGGCCCCTTTAGGGGCCCCCCTGGGGGGCCCCCTAGGGGCCCCCCTGGGGGCCCCTTGGGGGCCCCCTGCAGCTCGGACACTTTCATCTTTGGTGGAGAGGGAGAAGGAGACCAACGCAGCGCCATTTCAGGTAATTCATTCTAAACCCTAAACCCTAGACCCTAAACCCTAAACCCTAAATGCTGTAACAGTAGCCTGAGGCCTAGTGACTTGCCTGCATGGTTCAGGATTCCAGCGAAGGATTAAGGATTTAGGGTTTCAGGGTTTAGGATTTAGGGTTTAGGGCTTAGGGTTTAGGGTTTAGAGTTTAGGGTTTAGGGTTTAGGGTTTAGGGTTTAGGGTTTAGGTTTTGGGTTTTTCAGGCGCCGAGGACGCTGGCAGAGGCTGAAGCTCTTGCGCTTCGCGCCCAGACTGAGCAGGGACTGACCCTCCCCGGTTTGTGTCTAAACCCAAAACCCTAAACCCTAAACCCTAAACCCTAAACCCTAGGCCGCAAGCCTGTAGAGGAAAGCTCTCAGCCTTGAAAGCCAAACCCTAAACCCTAGAAAGAGCTGTCTCAGAGACTGCCCAAGTGGCTGTGTGAGCCCTCATCCAAAGTGAGGTTTACGCTTCAAGGTTTAGGGTTTAGGGTTTAGGGTTTAGGGTTTAGGGTTTAGGGTTTAGGGTTTGGCCTGCAGGCGGCATTGTAGACCGTTACTTGCCCCCCAGAGACCCGAGCGCGTTGCTGCTGGAGCCGCACAAGTTGACTAGAGAGGAGCAGCGTTTTCAGATACTCTTCGCGGGCAAGCCAAACCCTAAACCCTAAACCCTAAACCCTAAACCCTAAACCCTAAGCCCTCATTTGAATTTAGGTGTTGCTTTCACCGGTGCTTGTCAAGTCATCCATGAAACAAACGGGACGCCGCCTCTCCAGAGTTAGACTTCGCGTTTATGGCCCGGGGTTTAGGGTTTAGGGTTTAGGGTTTAGGGTTTAGGGTTTAGGGTTTAGGGTTTAGGGTTTTGCTGTGCAGTGCTGCCGTGGCTTTTCTTCGGGTGTCTGCTGGCAACGCCAATGGTTCTCGCGAAGTACCACTGCAAGAAGCTGAAGGAGCGGCAGCAGAACTCGTGCGTCTGCCGAGGGTTTAGGGTTTAGGGTTTAGGGTTTAGGGTTTAGGGTTTAGGGTTTAGGGTTTAGGGTTTAGAGTGGGGGGGTTGAGGTGAGGCAGCATGAACGGAAAGCTCTGCTAAACATGCAACTGGCGCGCAGGCGCGACGGCGCGGAAACCACGGTTTAGGGTTTAGGGTTTAGGGTTTAGGGTTTGGGGTTTGCTTGCAGCGCTGCTTTGTCTCGGGAGCTGCAGCAGCAGCTGCTGGTGCCGCCGCTGCTGCTGCTGCAGTTTAACTCCATTAAAGAGTTAATAGAACAGCCTTTTGAAGTGCTGCTGCTGCTGCTGAATTCTGCTGCTTTCGGGGCCTCCACTGCTGCCTGCCTCTTCGCCGAAGTAGCGGCCCTCCTCGCGTAAACCCTAAACCCTAAACCCTAAACCCTAAACCCTAGGCCCTGAGCTTTGGGGTTCAGCTGCTGGCGGCTCGGCAGGCACGCTGCACTGGACCCGCGCTTCAAACCCTCAGGCGTTGCCCCAAACCCTCCAAGAACGCGACGCATTCTAGGGTTTAGGGTTTAGGGTTTAGGGTTTAGGGTTTGGTTTTTGCAGGACCCACGGCATAGACCTACCAATAGCCATATGCGACCTGAACGAAGGGGCCTCTTCTAATGCAAACCCTGGGGGCCCCCCCTCTCAAGAAACCCCACAAAAGGGGGCCCCACAGGGGGCCCCCACAGGCACGGGGGCCCCCAGTGGGGCCCCCGTAGGCATGGGGGCCCCCAGTGGGGCCCCCGCAGGCATGGGGGCCCCCAGTGGGGCCCCCGTAGGCATGGGGGCCCCCTGTGGGGCCCCCCAAAGCCTGCAGGAGCGTTTGTTTCCTGCTGCTGCTGCACCTTATTTGTTTTTGCTGCTGCCTGAGGGTTTGGGGGGAGAGCCTGCAGCAGGAGAGTTGGAAGATCTTGAAAATGAAAAGTTAATTAAATTAATTTTGAAAAAAGCAGCAGCAGCTCGCGTGCTGCAGCATGCTGCTGCTGTGAGGCCCGCTGCAGCAGCGCTTCTGGAGCAGGCGCAGGTAAACCGCTGCCGGGGGTTTAGGGTTTAGGGTTTGGGGTTTAGGGTTTAGGGTTTAGGGCTTGGGGCTCAGCGCGTAGGCAGGACTCAGGGTCTAGGGTTTGTGAGCTTCAGGGCCTAGAGCTGCGCAAGTAGTTACAAGTACTCGAGGCCTAGCCTATAGGGTTTAGGGTTTAGGGTTTGGGGTTTAGGGTCTAGGGTTTAGGGTTTAGGGTTTAGGGCCTGCAGTTCCTTCTTCAGCGCAGCCTCAGCGGGCAGCAGCAGAAGTCTTTCTTTCTTTGTTTTTGTCGCTCTTTATTATTTTTCTTTTTATTTTTTTATTTTTATTATCTTTTAATTCCTTTTTTCTTTTTATTTCTTTTAGGCAATCGACGAAGCAGCAGCAGATCTTCTACGCTGCGAATTCGCGGAAACATTTGTTGATGAATTCGCCCACTCAAAAGTCAACTCAAACACAGGGCCCCAGCCCCAGGGGCCCCCCCCTAGGGGCCCCTCTGGGGCCCCCTCTGGGGCCCCCCTTGCTGGGGGCCCCCCTGGGGGGCCCCCTGGGGGCCCCCCTGGGGGCCCCCCTGGGGGGCCCCCTGGGAGCGGCTCTGTGGGGAGCTGTGAGGGCCAACCGAAAGGGTCTTCTGGGGGCCCCCCTGGGGCCCCCCACGTAGATGGTCTGGGGGGCCCCCCTGGGGGCCCCCTGAAGGTAATGCGGCTGGCTGAGGCTTTGACAGCTTGCAGGGAGAGAAGGAGACAGAAATATTCCACTGTTATCGTTTAGGCTGCTGCTGCTGGTGCTGCAGCTAGTGCTGCTGCAGCAGCTGCTGCAGCTGCTGGTGCTGCAGCTAGTGCTGCTGCAGCTGCTGGTTGCCATTTGTGTGGGGGCCCCCACGGGGGCCCCGTGGAAACAAATGATGGAACAGTAAATAAAAAAGTAATTAAACAAAAACAAACAAATGAGTAATAAGTGACCAGTAATAAACAAATGGAGAGAAAAGTGGCAATGCAATAAAGAGTTGGATTAAATAGAGGAAGTGCATGCATGCAAAAAAAGTCCATTTGAGCAGTAAATTTGTCTTTAAAAGAGCAGAAATTGCATATAATATTAAATAAAATAAATAAATTCAATTATTTAGTCTAAAACGCAAATAAATGCAAGTTGCTGGTGCCCTACTATTTTGTGCGGGGGCACTTGCTGTGAGGTGTATGTACACCTGAACGCATGCAAAAAAGCAGACTAAAATGCCCTTTTTGACTTCTTTAATAGTCTTTTTATAAAAAAAGAAGAAAACCAAAAATATATTTGAAGAGCAAATGGAGAAAAAGGAGAAAAATTGCGCATTTGCATGCGATCAAGTGTACGTACACCAGAGATGCACTACTAAGCTACTGCAGTGTACATACACCTGAGCACAAACTTACATTTTTATTTTTTAAATGAATACTTATATTCATATTTACTTATTTATATCCATTTAAAGGCCTTCTTAAGCAACAAAGAACTGAATACAAACAAATAAATAATAAATAAAGTAAATAAATCAATAAATAAATAAATAAATAAATAAATGAACCTTTTCGTGGCAACGTGGGGTGTACGTACACCTCCCCGGCCCAAGTATTCTTCATTCCAACATGCAAATGTGATCTTTGTTTCTTCTTTTTGCACAAATGCACTTGAGGAAAAATAAGTCTATTTTAAATAAATATATTTGTCCAAAATCTATTTTAAATAAATATATTTGTCTTAGTCTTTTTGTCAATGGGACCCGGTGTAATACCCCGAAAATATCCGGTTTTGCTGCTGCTGCAGCTTATTGTGCTGCTGCTGCTGCTGCGGCATACTTCGCTGCTGCTGCTGCTGCAGCAGCGAAGTATGCTGCAGCGGCAGCAGCTGCAGCTGCAGCAGCACAATATGCTGCTGCAGCAGCATGTTTCATTTTGCTGCTGCAGCAAAGTTTTGCTGCTGCAGCGCAGCACCCCACACCGAAGGTTGTGTGCAGCTTTTGCTGCTGCAGGAGTGGTAAGGCCTTGAGGGTTTATTTGGAATTGTTTGGACTTTTATTTTCTTTTTATTTATTTATTTAATTTACTTTTATCTCTTTTTATTTTTAAACCTCCATTTAATATTTAATTCTCCATTTAATGCCTTTCCCGCAAGTGCATGCAGCTGCTAGGGCCAGAGACAAGTGTGGGAAGCAGCAAAGGTTGTTTGTCTTGCTGCAGCTGCCGCCTAAACCCTAAACCCTAAACCCTAAACCCTAAACCCTAGGGTGGGGACTGCCGTGCAGCTCGGAGCCGCGTCGAGTCGCTCTGCCGGCGGGAATGGCAAGAGTTGAAGGGTTAGGGTTTAGGGTTTAGGGTTTGGAAAGCCAGAGGCAGAACACCAGCTAGAGACTGTGACAGCAGCAGCAGCAACAGCAGCAGCAGCAGCAGCAGCAGCAGCAGCAGCAGCGGCGGGACCCGGGGTGGGTGTATCTGGGCCCTCGTCTCAGGCTCGACGGGCGGTTTTAGCGGCGGGGTGTAGTTGGAGGAAAAGCTGGTAGTGTTAAGGGTTTGGAATTAGGGTTTAGGGTTTAGGGTTTAGGGTTGGAAGGTGGGGCAGCGGTTTGGCTAGAGGTAGTGCTCGCGGCGCAGCAGCAGCAGAGGGGCTGCGGGTTTGGGGTTAGTCGGGGGGAGTGTGTGTTTGCAAAATGGGAGAGAAGTATTAGAAAAGGTGGAAGAAAGCGAATAAAAAAAGGCGGGGGGCTGAGGGTTTTGGCAAACCCTAATTTAGGGTTTGGGCAAGGCTGCTGGCTGACTGCCTCGCGGCGCCCATTGACTGGCGGGCGGCTGCTGCGCCTCGGCGCGGCTGTTTGCCGCGGCTTTGGGGGCACCATTCTCGAGCTTTCTTTCTTTAATGAGTGAAAAAGAGTTAATTTGGCATTAAAAGAAGAAAAACAAATTAAAATAACAATTCTTTCCGTCGGATTCTCTGCGGCGGCGGCTGTGCGCGCGGCAGGCGCAAGCTGTCCATACACCTGAACGGCTCCTTCGCGGCTTCTTCCGTTTGCACTTCTCTTCCGCTTTTCGGAGGACTTCAAATGCATTTAAGTTCTTCTTTTCTATTTTCGGATCTGTAGAAGACCCGAGTTGAGTTGTCTAGGGGGTCGGCCTTGCGAATTCGAGATGGGTCTCAGCCGCCCGGCTCCGCAGCCGCGGGCTGCTGCTCCTGCGGGGGCTTCCAGCCCTTCTTTGCAGCCTTCTGCGCTTCCCGCCGCCGCTGCTGCTGCTCCCGCCGCTGCTGCTGCTCCCGCTGCTGCTGCTGCTCCCGCTGCTGCTGCTGCTCCTGCAGCAGCAGCAGGCGAGGGGGCGCAGCAGCAGCGCGCCGCCAGCGCTGCTTCCCAGGCGGCTCTCCAGGCGCAGCCGGAGGACCCCGGCGGCGCCGCGACCCTCGCAGCCGCATCCGCAGCAACAGCAGCAGCAGCTCGTCGTCGTCG